AAAAAGAGAATGTGTGAATGAATGAAGTGAGAGAAAGAGAAAAGGTTTATACTGAAGATAAAAACAGAGAAAAAAAAATTGTTGCTCCGTGCTGTGTGAAGTCTATCTTTCATTATTTTTTTTTTAACAAAAAACAAAACAAGAAAGAATTTGAAGTCAAAAAGTGTTGGCTAATTTGTTTGCTATCAATTTGCATTAATTAGCACTCTGAACAAAGTGAATACGATTGAATTTGCTGTCAATTTTAAAGTCAAAAATTCTCTCTTCTATGTTTTGTCGTTACATAAGAAACAGTTATACATGAGAAGAAATTAAAGTGGGAGACTCTTTTTTAATAAAGGGAATAAAATTAAATATTTAATTAGGAAATGAATTTGAAGTCAAAAAGTGCTGGCTCCTTTGTTTGTTGTCCTGTTTGTATTAAATAGGTACAGTACAATTTGTCAGCTTTTGTGAGTGTGAAAAAGTAAAAAAAAAAATAGTACTAAATTTCTCTCCGCTATTTTCGATATTCATTTAAATCATTCGATATATCTATAATATAATTCTCAAAATGAGTTCGATAGAATATAAAAAATATATTTTTTATATATATTGCATAAATGAAGGGAGAAAAGTAGGCCGATAATAATTTTATTAGGAATTTTTACATCATAAAAAATAATTATTATTTTATTAATGTTTATTATTTTTTCGCGACAATTTTCTCAATATAATTTACATGTGAAATTGATTATTTGTGGTTGGGGGGGGGGGGATTACTTGAACAAACGATTTTGAAAAAAGAAAAGAGAAAAAAAAAGAGTTTGGAGCATTTTTCTCCAAACTATTTGGAACAAAATTGCTCAAAATTGTTCTGTGCAGCACGGAGCATAATTTTTTTTATTATTTTATTATTTTTAATTTCACTTTTTAATTTCGTATTATATTTTACCTTATAACATGACACAGTTTATTTGTAGAATTTTTTTCTTACTGTTACTTTTCCTTTCGATCAATTATTTTTTTAAATAATCTAATAAAATTTTTGACATCATTTAGAAAGTTTTCTAATAAATTTTCAATTTTTTTTAATCTCAAAAGAAACATCATTTAAAAAATTAAAAATTTCGATAACAAGTTAACTTTAAAAATTTATCGACGATTGTATAGTAGTCAAATGCATAATTTTTCTATATTCTCTCGAAGGTCATTTCGAAATCTATATCATAGACATATCGAATGATTTAAATGAATATCGAAAATAGTTAAACGTAAGTCAAACGCGTGTATTGAAAAAGTTGACACAAAAAAATATTAATCGTCCAATTAAAAAATAAAAAAGATTTTTTTTTGTCTCCTGGCAACCAGGAGCACTTGTTCGTGGCTGCGCGAAGCAACTTATCAAAATTTATTTATTATTTTTTTTTTAAAGTATGACATCAATTTTTTTCTTTTTGTTTTTGGACGTAAAAATTCTTAATAAAATTATTATTGCCCTACTTTTCCCCATTCTTTTACTCAACATATGTAAAAAAAATATATATATATATATCTTCTATATTCCATCGAAACTCATTTCGAAAACTATATCATAAACACATCGAATGATCTAAATGAATATTGTACCTTATAACATGACACAGAGTTTATAGAATTTTTTTCTTACTGTTATTTTTTCCTCTCGATCAATTAATTTTTTAAATAATCTAATAAAAATTTTGACATCATTTAAAAAATTAAGAATTTCAATAACAAGCTAACTTTAAAAATTCATCGATGATTGTACGGTAGTCAAATGCATAGATCTTCTATATTCTCTCGAAGTTCATTTTGAGATCTATATCATAGACGCATCGAATGATCTAAATGAATATCGAAAATAGTTAAACGTATATCAAATGCGTGTCTTAAAAAAGTTGACACAAAAAAATATTAATCGTCCAATTAAAAAAAAATAAAAAAATAAAATAAAATAATATATATATATATATATATATATATTATTTTATTTTATTTTTTTATTTTTTTGTGTCTCCTGGCAGCGAGGAGCAAGTGCTCCTGGCTGCGCGGAGCAACTTATCAATTATTTATTTATTTATTTTTTTTAAGTATGATGTCAATTTTTTTCTTTTTATTTTTGGACGTAAAAATTCCTAATAAAATTATTATTGCTTACTCTTCCCCATTTTTTTTTCCTGAGGCACGTTGGCATCCTTTTTCTTTAAGGGGTGGGAGAGATTGAAATGGGTGGTACACATTTTAGCGGTGGCCATTGGAGGAGGAAAGCTCTCTTAATCGTTGAAGAAACGAGAAAGCTCCCGGATCCTTATCTGCCATAGAGTTCTAGCTTTGTTAGAGCTCACATCATAGGCAATTGCATGGGTTCTTCTACAAGAACTGAGCAACACTCAGCGCATATGGTATTTTCGGTAGTGTCTGATTCTTAATTTTGAGCATGATTTTTTGGATGTAAAGTTCATTAATCTTTGTTCTTAATAGCGAAGTTTGTTTTGTATATTTGGTTTATAAGTCCCCTTAATTCTTCTTCTTTTCCTTGTCTTTATTATTTTGGTTTACGAATTTATTCAACTGCAGAATTTTTTGACAGTCATCTCACGAAGCATTTTTTTTTGAATTGTAGAATCAATTATTTTAGTTGATTATTTCTTTTTTATTTTTTAAATTTAAGCGAGACAATAAAAAGTATAACGATAATCGTCACTAATAACAAATTCAACACCCACAGTTTTTCATGATTGATATTTCGAATTTTATTTCTGATTATTTTGTTTCAAGTCAATGGATGACTTCAATTAATTAGAGGTTATATTAAAGAGGAATTAATAAAAATTAGTTGAAGTTATTCTGGTTAGTGTTAAAATTTCTCAACGATATGCTAATTTGTCTACGCGTTTTGGTCTCCACAGAGAATGGGCTAAATTACCTTGAATGATGTTCTTTCTAAGGAGTAAATATATTTCTAGATTATTATCAAGATTCAATCAATTGCTTCAAGTTTTACAATTCAAGACTAAGAAGTCGTTTATGAAATGATTGTATAAAATAATTGAGTGGTGATGAATTAATGCTATGACCTCATTATCTCTTCTGCGAGTTCCCGAAGCTTCAAAATTTCCCAGAAGTTCATTAGGTCCATCCAACATAAGCATTCCTTCTTATAGTGGCAAAGGCAATGTTCAAAGCCACCCTACTCCATTTTCTGCAGTCAATAGTTGTAGGCCGCTGGGTCTCATGGGCCAATTGCATGCAAGCAACATTCCAATTGAATATTGATTGGCAAAGACAAGCGTTCAAAAAGGTTGGAAAATGTAGAAAAATGAACTAAAATGAGGCTCAAACGCAAGCATATGTGTGGCCCAGAGAAGAAAGCGTGTCACAGGAATATATTACTGTAGCAAAATCGGATAAGTTGAATACAATGTGAAAAGTTATGTGACATAAATGAATAGTAGAATCAAAACCCCTCTTTTAAGAGGTAGTAGATAATGCAATCACATTATCTAGTCAAATTGTTGACTTCATGGATTAATCCATTAGGCCAGTTTGGTGCATCCTGCATATTCTTCCACCAACTAATGAATACTAAATGCTATATATGAAATTGTGCTCGTTAAAATATACGAGGAATATGCTTAACATTATTCGATCAATAGTACCCTAGTCCCTATAAAAGGGGAGATCCTTCTCCTTCTTCTCTCAAGAAAATGAGGATTCAAACAAAATTGATGAAACAACAGAAATCCGAGTGAATACATCAATTTCGTCTTGAAAAACATGAAGAAAAAATAGTTTGAATGTACGATCTATATCGTCCTAGAATAAAATGGATAATCTCGTCATTCATGATCTTTTTTCACCAAGGTCGAACTTAAATTTGTACTCGAGAGATAAAACCACACGTTGATAAGAGGTGTGCAGATTCTCAATCTCAATATGACAACGCCAAAGAAGATTTCTATTCATTCTCTCTTATTTATTTATTTTTTATTATTATTATTTTTTTCGCCACTGTGAACATAAACGTTTACTATGGTCATTCGATAATGCAAAACAACCATGGCGCCCTTTTATTAAAATGGTCTTTTGGCTCGACAAGATTCTTGACAACATAAAGTTTATTGCCAACATTGACGATGAAGGTGTTTAAATGAATTAATAACTCTTGTCAACTTATTGTCAAAAATTAATAAATGGTCAAAATTTGTAAAAAAAAAAAAAGTCATTTAAAAAAAATTGATATTTTAACTGTCAAATTAATATATTTCATATTTTAAAATCCCAATTTTAAAAATGGTGAGCCAATTCTACAATTCATGAAGGTTAGAGAGCCCAACTCTACTTTGAGTACTTTCCTAAAAATTATTATAAAATGATTATTCTTCAATTTTTTATTCTTTTCTAATTTTAATTTTCTCTGTTCATTAGTCCCACCCCATTATTTGAAATTTTAATAGTTGATTTTTTTTTTAAGATTGTGTAGTTAAAAAAGAATATATATATATGTTTTAATGAAGAATATTTGATTGATAAGAAGAGAGAGAAAAATAAATTATAAGTTTAATGGGGGCTAAACATGGGCTTAGAACAAATACCACGTTACTGTTTTTTTTCGGGTCATCGCATGTCCCTCGTGCTCATTTGTCATAATAATAAAATTAATTTTGTAGAAATTATTACGATTTTATGATGTCATAAATTCCAAAAAAGGGGACGCCGGATCCTCGTGCAGCACGCGTGTGGTCAGTGCTAACAAGCTTAGCAAAATTACAGCAATTCCACTATGTCGTCAAAAAATGATACTCGTTTTCCGAAAATATATTTATAAATTTATATAAAAATTGATGAAATTTGTGGTTGAAAATTTATGAATTTCAATAAACGTGTTATTAAAATGAATTATTGATTTCAACTTAAATTTTAATTCAATTTTTTAACCGAATAAAAAATGTTATTAGTGGCTGCATTCTCATTTCTTATTAATTACCAGTGCTTGGTATGAATAACATTATTAACATTTGAATTTTTAATTTATTATTATAATTGTAAAGTCATCATCGAACAATCTTAGACATTATTCGGCACTCATTACTTATTTTGTCAATAAAGAACAATGACTGGGGGATTGTACCGTAAAATTATAATGATTCTATTATACTTCCCTTCTAAAAAGACTACTTAAAATTATTGATTAAATTCCATGAACTTTTACCTATATTCATATTACTAACCACAAAATTTAAATTAAAAGAAAATAAAGAACATATCGCAATCATGCAATTAAAAGTGTACACCAAATTATCACAGCAAATAAGAAGACAGCCTACCATCCATTATTTGCTCCATCAATAGTAATGCCAGTTATATTTTTTATTGTGATTTTTTTTCTTGTATTTTCATATTAAATACTAAACACAAAAATACGTTACTCCTTCCTAATTGAGAAGCTCAAACCACCCAAAAAAAGGGGCAACGACTTATACGTGTCATCAAGACATATACATGCAATCTTGATGCACACATTCATAAAAATAAAAAGGTAGTTTTGTGATGATAGTATACCAGTCACTTGCTCTGGGACTTCTAGTTCCAATCGATACAAACCACCCAAAAAAGGAAAAAACAACAAATTATATGTGTCATCGTGAAATATACATTTTGATGGGACAAATTCATTTTAATTGAAGATGACATTTCTACTGATGGTAACCCTATAACCTTTTTGACATTTAACTCAAAGTCTATACCCTTTAGTTTCCTTCCCATACCCCAAGAAGACACACTTCAAGGCTCTTGGTTCAAGTTTACCTTCATTTTGATGGGAGTATGCAGTACAGCCAAAAACTGACCATGTGAGATCATTCAATCAAGTTTTAACAGGGCAAAAAAATGGCATTTTTTTCGGGTCTCTTTAAGTGATGGCCGAGACCCAAAGATCTCCTATTTTACTTTGGCTGCAGGAGGGGAATGGTTAAGTGACACTCTCGATGTCTTGTTTGGTAAACGGGATGTTTATCCAGGCAGGTATTCCCACAAAACAAAAGCGCGAGACCTCTGGTCCTTTACTTTAGTCAACAAGGCTGCTTTTAGGGAATATTGTCATTGTGATATCAAGTTGTAATTGAGCCATGACTTCTTAGATAAGTCCATTATAATCAGGAATAGAGTTTGACCACAAATTTTTTGAGACTTCAAAATCAATGACAATTGAGGGACTTCTATTTATAAGATATGTTGTTATTTTAGGACCTCACCCCAAAAAAACTTTGGAAGTCCAGAACTATGTAACATACACCTGACTTTCTCTAATAAGGTTCTATTCATCCTTTCAGCAACTCCATTCTGCTGAGGGGTGTATGTTACAGTTCTATGCCTTAAAATTCAAGATTCCTTATAAAACGAATCAAATTCCAAATTATAGAATTCAAGGCCATTATCAATCCTTAGTGCTTTGATTTTCTTATTGGTTTGATTTTCAATCATTCATTTCTGTTGTCTGAAATTTTGAAAAGTATCGAACTTGTGCTTTAAGAGAAAAGATAATATTTTTCTTGAAAAATCATCTACAATGAGCAGGTAAAATCTGAATCCACTCAGAGTATTTACAGATACAGGACCCCAAAGGTCAGCATGTAAATATTCTGAAATAACAGTAGATTTGTGGGTTCCAGATTTAAAAGGTAATTTGCTTTGCTTTCCAATTATGCAATCTTCACAAAAACTTAGCTTTTCAATATTATCTTTTCCAAAACATTCCATTTTATTTAAAATTGTCAGTCCCTTTTCAGACATATGGCTAAGTCTTCTACGCCATATTAATGACTTATTAAAAGGATGAATTAATAGCTGGAGAGCCATAACCTACTAAAGGTTCAGCTTGAAGAGTATAGATGACATTTATTTTAGGAGATGTCATATGACTTCTTTATTGTTAAGGATCAATCTTATAAGGCTTTTATGAATCCTTATGTCATACTTCTCGTCCAATTCTCCTAAAGAAATCAAGTTTCTTTTTAGTTCAGGTACATATCTGACTTTATCAAGTTCAAGTATATAGTTGTTGCTTAACAGAAGATTCAATTTCCCAGTTCCCCTTATCTGACAACTCATGTCATTTCCCATTTGAACTTGTCCTCCACTAAGATCAACAAGTTCAATAAACCAATTTTTAATGAGGCACATATGGAAAGTGCAACCAGAATCTAGCACCCATTCTTTTGGGTCTCCTTGAATATCAGGTCCATTCTTACAAACAACAGATTTAGAACCATCAGTATTTTGTAAGGGTAGGCATGGGTTGGGTTGGGTCGATTTTTTGCCCTGACCTAATAATGTCGATTTGATTAAAATACAACCCAACCCAACCCAACCCAACCCATGTATGAATTGAAACCCAACCCAACCCACCCCAACCAAATGTCGGTCGGGTTGGGTTGGGTTGGTGGTTCGGGAAAAGAAATCATGATCTAAACACGCAGGAGACATTTTAGAAGTAGCAGGAGTTGGAGATTGGGTCTTCTTTGCTGTAAATTCTGAAGGCTTCCATTCATTTATAGGTTCAACACCCCAATTTAGTCATTGAGGGCGCCTGCAAGTACGTATGTAGGGATATTTCTTAGGCTTGGTTTGCATCATGTGTTATATTCATAGAGACGTGCTTTCATTTTATTATAAAGCCATGTCTATATTTTTTGTCATATTTTTGACTTGTGGATATTGATCGTGGAAATAGTTTTTCAGTGTTAACTTTCACTAACTAATATAAAGTTATTATGTTTTTATTAGTTTTTCAACCACTCACAAAATAAACGGGTAAATAAGACACCCTGCAATCAAGAGCAAAAGCCAAAGATCCCAAACAAAAACAAATCAACAGTAAGTGTACCAAGCTTAACAACATTGAGCTTGAGAAAACTGTAACTTATCAAAATAAAAGACCAAGAAACATACCTGTTCAGTGTTCACCATGACTCTATTCAATCCAAATTATTCTCACCAATGTGATTGAAGATGTATGATAAATTGTCATAAAGTTTGTGCCCAAAACAACAGTAGTAAGGGACCAGCTGCTCGTAGAAACAGCGAATATTTCCTTGATTTCCTTGTGACCAGAACCCCAAAAAAAAAAGCATGTACAATTTAAAGAGGTGTAAAAACAGAAAAACACATAATCATAGCCATCTCAACTCATATCAGGTGCTTCATTATTAGGATAATAGAGTCCATAACAAAAGGAGGCCACGAGAACTTTAAAAAGAAAAGACGACCATCAGTGATTAGAACATCAAAGGTCACTTAAATTTAGAGAAAAAGATAAAAGAACAAATGAAGTATAAATGAACAATACCCCCAAGGAAAATATTAATGTACTAAAACGTGAAGAAGAATATAGATTGCACTTTACTAACCCCAGCTTCCTACTATGGACAATCGACGACAGGCTGATGTCGGTGATTTGGTGATACGGCACCGCTGCAAGTGGAGTGGGACTGTGGATGTGGCTGCGTGAGAGAGAGATGGAAGTTGTAGGGTTTGTGTTGTTTGTCTCGTGACGTTTGTTTTGCCTTTTGAAAGAAATTTGAGATTTTTTTTAAACTAGCGAGTTGGGTCGAGTCGGGTAGGGTCGGGTTTGGGTGGTTTTTGTGCCTCAACCTGCAACCCGACCCACCTTCTATGCCCTAAACGCGAACCCAAGCATAAAAATGGAAAAAATGGACCCAAATCGATCGGTTTGGGTTTTGCCCACTCCTAGTATTTTGTGTGTTCTTCAAATCAGAAATTTTCTTAAAACAGTCTTTTATCAAGTGTCCTATTTTTCCACAGTAGTAACACTTTCTGACTTGATTCTTGTATTTTGCTTGGTTCTTGTTTTTATCCCTAAACTTAGGGTTCTGATATTTTCATTTCTTGTGAGAGTTAAAGTTACACTGATTATTTTTCTTGTTTTGATTTAGTTTTTCCTTTATGTGTAATCCTTCACTATATTTGGAATCTTTTGAATCAGTTTTTAGTTCAAGTTCCCTATTTCTTAGGGCAGATGTTCCTATATCAACTGTGAGTTCTCGTCCTTCATACTCCAAGGCATTTCTAATTTCCCTATATCTATCACTTAGAGAGTTCAATAAGGCAACAACTTGTTGGCCTTTAGATAATTCTTCATCGCAATTCTCTAAATCCTGAACTAGTTTTATGAATTTATCAATGTTCTCTTCTAGGCTAGAGGAAGAATCAAATCTAAAATTATAAAACTGTCTCAAAAGATAATATTTGTTAGGTGTGTATTTAGTTTGATAAAGGGTTTCCAATTTAGTCCATAGGGCCTCAAAAGAAGTTGTTTCACCTACTTTCCTAATTACATTGTTAGAAAGATGAAGGAAAATAGAACTCCAGGCAATATCATCTAACTCTCTTATCCTATAGGCACTAGTTTCAACAGGCCAATTACCATCAAGTGCAGCAGCACATCTCTGTTGTAACAACAGAGCCCTCATTTTCTAGCGCTAGAGACTAAAGTCTCCAATACCATTTCAAGTCTCAATTTCAAGTTTATATGCAGTACACATTGTGATAAATGCAATAACAGGATCACAGAAATTGAAAGTAAAAATGCAATTGCCAATTTTGAAACGGTTTAAGGGGTGGTAACCCTTAATTTCAATATTCCCTCGGATTCCCAGATCCTCGTATGAGATCTTGAACAAACAAAAGTACTAAAGGGCAACTTACCTTAATAACTAGCTCCAGAAATCAACACAGGTGATCAACAGTAAGGAGAGAGTTCAAAGTATACTAAAAATGAACCAAGGATTTCAGTACTCATGTAGGGAATCAATGAGTTATAAAGACTTAGCATGAACTCGGTAGGAATCGGACATAGTCGACCCAACTCACCAGGAACTCAATACGAGTCATAAGAACCAGCGGGACTTAGTAATGAGTCAGCTCGAAAATCACCACTACTCAGCAAAAACAACATATTATTACAAGTTAAGAGCGAGTTACAATGATTTTCCAAAGAAAAGTTTGAACAGAACACAGTGTCAACTAATCACCGTAGATCTCACAGATCTATACAAAGGGGTATTCCGATCCTTAAAGAGATCCAACCAGAAAGTTGGATCGAAGATGGATCAGTAAAAACTTTCATGAAAAACAAATTTTCTTATCACAGAAAACCTCTTCCAAAATTAGATCTGCAATTTTCAAAAAGTACAGGCGTTTTGTTTTGAAAAACCAAACCCTAATGTAATTATTTAAAAGAGAAGGCTCTGATACCACTTGTTGGTATCAGGATCTAGTTTAAAATTATATTTTCAGAAATAAAACGTATTAAAAATTGCAGAAACTTAAAAGGAATCAAGAACACGAAGAAATTTTCGCCACAAAAGGCCCGAATGTTCAGTCTTACGACCTACTCACCCATTGAGCATCCACAAGTGGATAAAACTCTAAATCCACTAAGAAATCACCAATAAAAGTTACAATATGTATGAAGAAATCAGAGATTTCTTCGATGTTTCCTCTAGCCTCAACACACAGTACAAAACCACACCAAATCACTAAGAACCTTTCTCACAGTATACATTAAGTGTAGAATCTCAGAATCACTCAGATTTTCAGATCAAGAAACTCACAAAGAATATACGATGTGGTTAGAGAGAAGAATGAGAGAAAACCCTAATACACAAAGTTCAACCGTCTCTAAAGTGAATGGCCAAACAATACTTTAAACAGTCAGTCAAAGAGCCACAGATCAATGGTTGGGAGATGGCCAAGTGCACGGCCTGATCAAACATCAATTAAATGAAGAAGCGCGTTTAAAAGAATCACGTTTTCTTCATCCGGGTTGGACAATTATCCACACTCAGCAACATAGGCCCAAATATTATGGAGCAAGAATATGAGGCAGCCCTAATACTTAACAATGGTTTAAAAGAAAAGTTATATATTTATAATTTTTCTGAGCTTATTTGTTTCTTGTTGGGAACGGGTGGTGGTGTTCTATTTAGCCTTAGACATGGGAGCTTTTGTTGTTGAGGCTTTCATTGTTGGGGAGAAAACGCGTGGGTCGACTTTGGCTGACAAATAATATAATTTAGAAACTGCAGCTAAAATGGATACAAGTATTTACGTGGTTCACCCAATTTAGGCTACGTCCACGGGCAAGTATGAGAGAATTCACTATAGCAGGAAAATTTCAACAATCTCTCTAAATACAAGGAGATAGCAATGAATAATATCTCTTGTAATTAGGAGAAAACAAGTAGGAAATACTAGGAGAAAACAATAATTTTTTTCTCTTTACTTTTATTTCTCTACTTCACAATTTTTTTCTCTCTACTAAAACAATTTTTTTTTCTCTCAAATTTTCCTCTCCACCACGGCTCATATTTTTCTTCAGCTCTTCCCTCTATTTATAGAGAATTTTTTACCACCTCATTGCTTGGAGAAATCAAGAATATTGGTTGTAAAATGGTTGGACAAAGCTGTCAATTTTCACCACATTTCTTGTATGCATGCATGCACTTGCTTGCCAATTAAGAAAGTATCATGGTCAAGAATTGAGGCTGCAACTTGGCTGTCACATGCAAGAAAGGGAAATTCAAATTTGTCACTATCACCTTTTGCATGCATTTGTTTTCTTACTTGTTAAGTAATGTCTTTATGGTAAAAAAAATGTGACTTTATTTTCAACATTCATTGTTGAGAAGATAGTTCTTGATTCTAACACTGTTCAAAATTTCTTTCCCCATTACATTATTGGGGTCAAAATGTCAAAAGGTGGGGTTAGTTTCATCGATATTTGTACGAATTTATGTTTCCTGGTATGAATACATGTTCCTTTGTTTTGTTTTAGGGGCATTAGTTGTTATATTGGAATTTAGATGCTATTTTAACTTTATTATGGTAACACCCACACAATGCAGAGATGCTCGATTTTCGTTTAATCTTGATTATGTAATTCTCTTTTCTAAGTGGCATGGTAATATACATTGTTTATCAATGTTTCTTTGTGCTGTCTTGTGCGTGTGCGTGTGTGTGTATATATATATATATATAGGAGCTTATTTGTTGCTTTTGAGATTTAGTTAGTTTAAGACATGGGAGTTTTTGTTATTGAGGTTTTCATTTTTGTTTTCCATGATAACAGAGCTCTTGATTCTAACACGGATCAAATTCGATTACCCGTCAAAACACTGGAATGAAAATGTCATGAATTGGTACCTTCTTTCATCGTCCTTTGTGCTTGAATTATGTCGCTTTGATTTATTTTAAGGCTATTAGGAAAATTGGATGTAAATTCAACTTAATTTGGACAATCCAGATGAAGTCTGTTCTATGTTTCTTTGTGTGGTTTATGTTTGTTGTACTAAATTTCATTGCCTTTTCGGCCGAGGTCTTGGTGAAACATCTCTTTCAAATTCATGGCTAAAACATGGCTATGAGACGACGTGCTGAAATATATCGATCTCATGTTCGCGACAACGTAAGAGCTTCCATGTATCATGGTTGAAATCTGTTTCGTCTGCCATATTTTCCATTAGTAGTGAATATACTGATTAATTCACAGTACAAGAAACTTTCTGATGAACTTAAAGATATAGACCAACAATTTCGTCAATTCTCATTTAAAACAGTAGTCAAAACATAAAGATTTGGATGGTACATGTCTATGCAAAAGACACGACTATAGTCAGCAGAATTAAGTTGATACATTAATCGAAATCAGTACTATACTAGACTGCCCAGTTAATGAGTCTAGTAACCAGCAGATCCTGAAATAAATTTCACAGCAAAAATTTCTTCTACATTGGATTATGAAGCTGAAAATCATGCCTTCGACGATAATTTTCAGTGTTAGCTGCTTGCAGTTGAAGGGTAGGACTAGAAAACACGGGAAACTGCGAGTACTGAGGCATTGGATACAAGTTTGGCAAATAAGAGCACATCTCAGCATTGGAAAAAGGAACATTGTCGAGTACCTCGAACCCTAAACCATGGGAAACTGGGATTTCACTGTTAATATAATTGCCCCGGATTTCACCACCATTGCTATACGTATAATTTCCGTAAGTATCTTCAGCATTACATATATAGGAAACTGGGATTTCACTGCCAATATAATTGCCCCGGATTTCACCACCATTGCTATACGTATAATTTCCGTAAGTATCTTCAGCATTATATATATAGTTGCTGCTACAACTAGATGCACCATCATTCATTGGCATCACCATCAGCCTCGGATCAGCCATATTAAATGAGCCGTGTGGCATCAAAGATTGCTGCTGCTGATAATACAACTTACTTTGGTGGACGTATATATTTTCTTGAACTGATTGAGCATTCATTAGATTATGATTCATCAAATTAATTCGAGACTTGACATTCTCAATCTTAGCCTGCAGAAGACTACTGAAGTGTTTCAGTTCGTCGTATGTCAAGTTATCATACGATGCATCCCAAGTTGGGTACTTAATTTCAATGTTCTTGTTACGCGTTTTCACAAGCTCTTCTTGGATTTTCTTCACTTTATTCTTGAAGAAAAATGACAAATCATAGTTTCTTTGTCTGCAATCATCATCTGATCTCTTCTTGTAGGAGCTGATCAAATTTTCAATCTCTTCACGATTTTCAGGCCAAATTGTATGCTCGACTGGTTCGTCACCTTCGGCTGGCCCGTAGAGAATCATGCCTATTTTGACTCCACATAGAGTCGACAATTCATAAGCCTTCTTCTCCAAACCTTTCCTTCTCTTTTCAAAAGTTACACGGCATGCCTTGTGGTTGTTTCTAAGTGTCAGGGTTAGTTTTGCTCGTCCCATCTACATAAACAAAATCACAATAGTCAGAATCTCATTCCCTTTTTTCTTTTAAAAATTTTAACTTCTGATACTGATTTATAAGTGATTACAGAAATCGAGTGCAAAGATCAGTAAAATATATAAACTAATAAACACAAATAAAGAAAATTCAAAATATACTTTAATATTAGTACTTTGTTACAAATTGGAATAGACATTAGGGCTTTTAAATTCTACACTGCAAGCAAAATAATACAAAGATTTCAATAAAAAACTTGCTTATGGCCTTTAACGTTCGGAGTTGTGCATAATACATGCATTGCCCTCAAGAAATTGGAAAAATCAAGAACTTAAATTTAATTATTAACTTATCAAAGTAACATAATCCTAAATTTTTAATTTATTGCCTTTTTAAACACCAAAACCATTCATCAAAAAAACTGCATTTAAAATTTTTTTTTTGATAAAAAGTAACAGAATCCTTTATTAGAAATTGATAAAAAAGAATAATAGTATCCTGAAATGATGATTGATAAAAAATAACAGAACTGTTGATTAATAATTGATCAAAATACTGCATGAAACTATAAATTCTGATCCAAGGAACAGAACTTTAATCAAGAAACTACTTTACGAGTTTCTGGGCTTCAATTCTCCGATCTCAAACACCTTAATCTAAGTAATGAATGTGTTCTTATATAGAATAATGGGGGGAGGTGGGTGTTGAATTTATATGGAAAGAAAATTCTTCAAAAACCGATGAAGATTTTCTTGATTACAAATTTTCGGTATATTACCTTATGGGTTTCACTAGGATTTAATTATTTCTTACCGACAAAGTCAGTTTAATGGCTATAACAAAAAAAATAATAATAAATAAATAAATAAATAAATAAAATTAAGTCAATTAAATTTACGCGCAGAAGTTCAAATCCATTATTTTCAAGTTTAATTTTCTACCGTAATTGTTATTATGATCTTAGATATGTATTTGCGAGTGCATTTTCTTTTTAAGTTGCAATCGGTGATTACTGTAATTTTGGTCAATAATACTCAAATTCAAAATGTGGATTAAGTAGTATAAAAAGAACTTAAAATATCTTGTTTATCTAATGTTAATACACTCTAGTACTACATGTCAAATACGAACTAAAGTAAAAAATTCGACTTTTTTGTACTCGTCTTTTGAAGAATGCCCTTTGTTTGGTGGTTTTGATTGCTTCTCCTAAGTTGATGCGTACATTGAAATAGTGTTTTATGCTCAATACTAAACTTATTCAAATACGAAATATAATCAAGGGTGTCTTTCTTTTTTTGTTAAAGACAGCTATTGCTCTCGTTCATGACATATGATTCGCCAGGATATTGAGATCTATGTCGATGATCATGAATTGGATAAAGCATTATTTCATAATATGTGAATTTGTTGCACGTATAATATGGTATATGTTCTCCCTTCAAATTCATCACATATTCGTAAGTGTACATTACACACTTATCCGTACTATGAAACTTGATAAATAATTAGGTTTGTATATAATTTAGCCTAAATATGATAATTAGAGATACAATTTGGATTTGGATGTTTTTGAAAAAAAAAATGAAGAAGAAGAAGGTTTCCGAGTAAATATGGAGTTGATTCGAAATAATTAATTGTTAATTGGACTGACATTAAGATAACGGTCTAGAAATTTACAAATTTAGGGAGTGAAATTCAATATTTAGAAAGTTAGGACATTAATTTTACAGAACTTGTAGAGGACCAATTTCGAATGATATTAAAGTTCGGGGACTAATATGATAGCTTTTGGAACTTGTAGGTTCAATTTGGATAAAAGGACCGAAATTGAGTGAAAAAGTTGAATAGGGACTAAAGTGCAATATACAAAACTTGTGGGACTGACTTGGACGTATTTAAAAGGGCAAGGACCAAAATTGTGAGATGAAAAGTTGGTGGGATGAAATTATTAAGATGAAACGTTCAAGGACTTGGTGTGAAATTTAATGTTAAAAGGTTGAAAGGGGGAAAAAGGAAAAGAAAAAGAAAGACACGTGGAAAAAAATAGAAAAGAAATTATATGAACCCGGAAAGAGGAGATTAATTCACTAGTCTCTATTTGCCGCGGATGAGAGAGGCAAGCAAATTGTTGTCATTTTGCTTTCGGTGTATTTTGCTGTTTTTTATTAGAATAATACTATTTAACTCCACTTAATGTATTTTGTTGTTTTTCATTTCCTTTATCATTTAATGTCATCTAAATTGAGGTTGCAACCCCAATAAAATTAAATAGCATTATTTTTGTTTTTTATTTTTTCAGCTTGACTCATTTTGACTCTTTTTCTAGGTATAATTCTCGAGGTAGTCCTACCATTATATAAGTGCATCGTTAAGATCAAATTAAGGGAAGGAGAAGTTTTTCAAATAAAAGATTCGAGAGAAAAATCGAGGAACAATTACTCCAAATCTATCTTGTATTTTTCTATGCCCATCATATGTAACTAATATGATTGTTGGGACGAACTATTGTAACATAGTTTTGAAACTTAATTAAATTATTATGTTTTGATTTTCAATTGATGTTTATGTATTATTTTTATATTATTATTACGATTTTGAATTATTTTAAAAATAATTCGTGATTTTGTGAAAGGTAACGAGTCGAGAGGTGAGTTAGGTGTTTAGACCACAAAGTAAAAAAAATTCTAATTTTGTAGAAGGTAGAGATAAACATTTAATAATTTTTTAGGTCCTTAATTGATATTATTTATTTATTTATTTATTATTGAATGCTTTTGAGTAAGGCTTACACTGATTTACCTAGCAAATTTTTAGGTAGCTTCAGCGGAGGCACTTGAAAGATTCCAATAGATTGTGAAGATCCCACGGTAGTACTCCAAATTGGAAAAATCTAATGCGAAGGTTGCCTTCAAAAAAAATTGTGTTAAAATTTGGATGTATTCATATGGAAACATAAATACATGGTTAGCTTTGATCCAATAATGTGTTGCCAATCTTTGAGGATCGACCCAAAGATCCGATTTCACAGGCAAAAGAGGAGGCTCTTCAACTGGAACAGTACCGGAGTTGAAAGAAGAGGTAAATAGGCTAGTAGCCAATGGCTTAATCGGAGATTGAATAACCTAGGCGAATTTCCAACTCGATCTTGGTGAGGAAGCACAATATCAAGTAGGAAGTATGCATAAATTTCTCCAATTTGAATCCAATTCCCATTGGCAATAATTTGAAAACCCCAATAGTAGCACGCACAAAATATTCTCACAAACAGTTCATGACTTTAAGCCCCCGTTTGGCCCCATTTTTTTGAAATGAAAATGAGTGAAATGGTGATTTTTTTTAAAAATAAGTGGTTGAAAAAAAGGAAGAATTTTCGATTTATATTTAATATTATTTTATGGAAGATTGTGTTATTGAAAATATGAGAGAGAAAAATGAAATGAAATTTAATAAGAGCCAAACGGGGGCTAATATTGAAAATTGCATTCCAAATTTTGTGTATACGGTTTTATATGAACATTGTTGCAGAGTGATTGATAGAAATCTATTTGAATATCGATGTTATATTTTTTTGCTTAATTTACATTTTAACTTATAATAATTTTGATGGCAATGACTTTGTCATTCATTTAAGAGTTCATGATATTAATCTTAGTAGTTACAAATCATTGTCATTAAAGTTTAGGAGTCACGAGTTATGTATCAACATTGTTAAGGAGGATAAGTGAATAATAAAAAATTATTGGGTAATTGGCATAAAACCTCCCTAACTTTCAAGATTTTTGTGAAAAATATTCATACCTTTCATTTTTTGGCAATTTCATCCTCACCTTTGCCTTTTATTGCGCAAAACGTCCTTCCGTCCACCCTCCGTTATAATGTTCAGTTAAATCAAAGAAAATGGGATTTTTATAATCAAAATGCAAGGTTAAAATCGTCCAAACACATTTCTCTTCATTGGCTTCACTCCCGCCCCTTCATTACGCATCAATGGGTTTGGTTATTGATGTCCAAAAAGCACTTTCTGATTATGTGGACTTCTCTTTTCTTTACAATGGGTCTTGTTATCAATGTTGATTGTTGAGTACTGGTTTTTGATATGTTTGGTTATTAATGTTGGTTGTTGAGTATTGATTTTGTTGGGTTTGGTAATTGAGCTTAGTTGTTGATTACTGATTTTGCTGTGTTCGAAATGGGCTTAGGGAAATTTCATTGCAGGGCATATAAGCAGGGTTGTATCTGGCTCAAAATATGTAGAGACAGTTTTCACAATTTTTAACAAAGGTAGGGACGTTTTGTGCAAATATAATGAAAAGATAGGGGTGTTTTGCGCAAAGACAGTATAAACATAGGGATGTTTTACGCAAAGACAATATAAAGTTAGGGATTGTTACCACAAGTTCAACTTCACATTAAATTGGGAAGAAGACCTATTTATCTTCCTCATCTTCTCCATTTCTATATATTGTCCATTCACATAATCACATTTTAATTGATCGTCTCACTATACCCTTTATTTACACCCTTCGTAAGCACAAAATGGGGATGAACATTTCAATTTTATCAACCACATATTCATTCTTTTCATATACGTTGCCAAAAGTATTTTAGCAATCAAGCATTATAGTAGCCATAATGAAGTTCAACCATAAATATAATCATTTCTATCATTTTTCCTTATGTATTGAATGAAATATTTCTTTACGAATTATTTTATTTATTTTCATATTACTTTATAGTACGCATAACATTTGAAGAAGGCGGGAATGAAGCCTCAATGAAGAACAAATGTGTTTGAACAATCTTACCCTTACCTTTTGAAAATTAAAAACTCATTTTCTTTGATTTAATGGTACATTTTAACGGAGGGTGGACGGAAGGACGTTTTGCGCAATAAAAGACAAAGGTAATGGTGAAATTGTCAAAAAATGAAAGGTATGGATGTTTTCCACAAAAATCTTGAAAGCCAGGGATGTTTTGTACCAATTACCCAAAAATTATTTCTCAATCCTTTCGTGTCTTGATTTTACCATTTTTCTTGTTTTATTTACTTTACTTTAAAACAATAATAATTCATTTGTTGTCAAACTTTGTCAAATATAAAAACAAAAGGAGTGACGTGAATGAAAAGTTTATATACCAACTTTTGTATATTTTACTAGTCTATTGCCCGTGCAATGCATGGGCATTGTTGTTTCGAGGGTAATGTTAATGTTTCTAGATAATAGATTTATTTCTCCTTTTTTTGGTGGCTTCTTCTTAAACCTTTAATGCATAATATAGCATTTTTTCATCTACTCTCTTCTCCAAAGTTAAGATTATAGATACTCAACTTTATTATCAAACGTCATGAAAGTAGGAAATAATTATAAAAAAAATCTAATATTTATTAAATGGCAAATGGAACCTAATAACATTGAAGAACTGCAACAGAAATTCTAAACCTAGATGACAAAAATTATCAAGTCAAGATAATAAAAGCACATTCTTTCTCACTCCGCATGGAACATGATATCCTACCAGTAGATTTTGATGCCCGACAATCCAATAAATGTCAAATCAGTATGCATGATTCAAAATGGCAATAAGTAAATTGAACAAAGAACTAATCTTATATGTGGAACCAGTCCCCAACTTGTGCTCAGAATCCTCTAACTTCATTTCTTTCTTTGTTTCGGTTAGTGATCCCCCAACTCCCATTTTTATCGATTCATTTGGTCTTCTGTGAATTTTCTTCCACCTCTCTTTGAGTTTCATGGACTATGTCAATCACTAGTCTTATGGGATTCTCATCATCCATGGATTGAGTGTCGTTACTATTGTTGCTTGTGGTGGATGATATTGAGGTTTAGCCATTCACATATTCTATTAATGCAAATAACATTACTAAAAGAATTCAACAAGTTGATAGAATCAAAATTCAATCTAAATCATGGGAAAATATAGATAATAAAAATTCGATGCCAAATAATACCTTCAGTAAGTTGCCTTGTCACATGGGCATTCTTTCCATCTGAAACATACAAATAATTTGATGTGATTAAAAATCAGATTAACCATCCAAATTTTCTTCTATCAATATAATCACTTGTAACAAATGAAATATGCATCGAAGATTTGATGTGATTTAAAATAAAAAATTCCCCTTTTCAACACGTAAAATCCTTATATTTTTCTGTTATTTATCCAGTAAAGTCTGGCCATTCGCATGACCCGACCTTTCATAACTCATTTGTGACAGGTAACATGTGCCAAGGTCAATGGTAGGATCAATATACTTCTATCATATATTTGAAGTACAAAGGATGCCAACCTATTTCCACAAGTTGCATTTGATTCACCAATGGCAAGGAAATTACAACCTGGAGATGTAATTGATTTCAGTTCCCGAGAACAAAATAGAAAAGGCTTTAGCAGGAGTACCAAAGCTAAAGTTCCAACTCATTAAAGAGAATCATTAATAACTGCTGTATAAAATACCTAGCACTTCCCAGTTTACAATTACTATATACGATGTTTAGGTGGGCTTAAATAAGCTTGCTTAGTTCACTCATAAGGGGGAGACAAAATCTTTTTTGTTGATGAGAGAACAACATCTTTTATGTTATTCTAAATAAGTAATCTTAGTTTCAAAACATTTTCACTTGTATATCTAGTTTGGGTTTTAAATTCCAAATCATATGAAACTCAAAATATATAGATAAAAATATGATTCATACTTCATCATTCAGATTGATCCCACCATAATTGACTACTTTGTCGGTAACTCTAGAAACCATGGTAGAAGGATCACAATATTAGATATATGAGAAAAAGTATATGTCATTCTATTGATTAAAGACTTACTACCAAAGGCGCCAAGGAGAAACTCACTCAGCCAATTTATCAATCTGAGCTCCCCAATTACTTCTGCCAGCTCCTCCACGTTTTACCTGATTTCTGCAATGGAATGAGAGTACAACGGAATATAAATGTCTAAGGAATGCAAAAATGCAAAGACAAAAGAGAGATTAAGTTAGGAACAAATAGGGTGTTCAATTTCATCTTTGCTAGCATTTTTTAATTTCATCAAGCTGATACAATAAGAATTGAAATCTCGAATCTAAGTTGCCATTGTTATTTTCTTTCTCAAATCTCAGCAATCAAACCTCTGATTTCTAAGCAAAACTTTTTCCAACAAAAAAAAGGGGGAAAACAAAGATCTTTTCAAAACTTTCAGTAAACTTAAAGAGAAGCAATAAAAATGAAGCAATGTACTAAATTTTAATTTTTGGAACTCAATTTCAAGCTAGAGATCATCAGATCAAAATTGATTTTGACATCAGCATCAAAATAATCAATCAATCCCCTTTTCTTTTCTTTTTTAACAATAAAGTATCTGAAAATGATCATATCCTTAATTTCTTTGTTTGCATTTTGTACTATCATCAATTAGAGCACAAAAAGCAAGAAGAAACAAGAAAGCCAAATTCATTGAAGACAACAAAATTCATATGAAATCAAAAATTAAATACTTTCAACTAACAATTAGAAGAAAAATATGAATAAATGCACACACATATATAAATAGAGATAGAGAAAAAGATTACAATATCAAGAGGGGCTTTAAGTTGATTCATAGTACTTATGTTTCCACGAGAGGAAAAATCGAAATAAACATTTCTTACCACTGGTGCAGATCTTCGTTCTATAGTATTAGATTATGTTTCCAATGTACATTATGGAAGTGGGCATTTCCTGCAAATGAACATCTGAACCTGAGATATGGGTTCTTATTAGGCCATTAAAAGCAAGGAATTAAGGCTTCAAAAAATTAAATGAGAAATATCATCAGGAGGCCATGGACATTATATATGCAAACTTATATGAAATAATAAATATAGGTTATGAAGAGAAACAAAAATCAATATATTGGGCATATTATTTTTGCTAAGAAATGGGCCGAATTGCATCATGCTCGTAGGGCTTCTCTTGTATATTATTAACTTAAAAGGTGGCACAAAATATATTGACCAAGAAGAGAATTATATATTTATTTAAAATTAATATTCAATGAATCCATTTTGGAGAACTAAAACAAACTTAGTTCTATCAGTGAACAGTCTATAACATCTGCAAGAAAAATATTAAAATAGCACATTCATCTACAAGATTATTGATCATAAGCAATAGTAAGCAATTAGTATGAGAAATATGTTCCAGGAGGCAGCCTCTCAATGCTATGGCCAACGATGCACTTCCAAGTAAAAATAGGCTGATGATCGAACGGTTGAAAGATGCCTGGCATATATCATGTTTGCTTTTGCAATTTTGTATTATCACCTGTCAAAGAATGTAAAATCATTTTAGCCATTTTCACTCCCCTCACTTCAATGAAGGTATCAAAATCCCAAATGTCTTGTCTAGAATTTCTCCAACCTTTTCGTATACCCAACTTCCAATGCATTGGCTTTTCTTCTATAATGCTGTCCTGTTTGCATTTGCAATTCTAGATTATCACCCGTCAAAGAATGTAAAATCGTTGCACCCATTTTCACTCCACTTACTTCATTGAAGGTATCAAAACCCCATATATCTTATCTTGTCTAGATTTTCTCCAACCTTTTCGTATACCCAACTTCAAATGCATTGGTCTCTTCTTCTATAATGTTGTGACCACCCTTTCAAACCAAGGACTGAATTCAAATTCTAAAGCAAACATACAAAATTCTTTCAACAAGCCTCTGATGTAAATAAAATGAAAACTATCCAAGTTCTGGCAATATTATTTGAAGAATTTCAAGCAGCAGAAATTGAGAGAATCTCTCTCCTTTCCATATTTACATAATCCACCAAGAATTTTTCCTTAATTACACACCCTTTTAGCTAAATATAATTACAGAGCCAGAATCGATTAGCTCAAAACACTTGATATCCACCATATCAGGATTTTATCTTGCAGTAGAAACTGCCATCGATTATCTTCGAGTAAATAAGAAAGACCAGAAAAAACTCGTCCGTCCTCTCTAAAATCTAGAGATAACCCCCGAAATTTTCCCCAGAATACCTATGAATCCTCATAAGACCCTTTTGCTATTGTCATGTATTGTTGTTCCAAGATCTTTACTTGAACTGAAAATAGTTCGATTTTCTCTCGTGCCTTTGTTTGAAATTTTAGTTAAACTTTCATAAAAAGGGAAAATTTTCCACAGGATCTGCAGAAATGATCAAGAAATTGAAGAAATTTACAGGATTGGAAGAAATTGAAGGTCGATTCCAATAATTAGTTTGAATCTTACCTTTGCTCTCCTTCTTAGGGTTTGCTTTGGCTTGGTTTGTCAAGAAAGAAACTCGTGAAAAAGAAAGAGAGAGTGAATGAAGAAAAAGAAAGCAAAATGCTCTTTATGTAAAATATCTATATCCTATTGAATAACCAGATAATGAACAGTAAGGAACCAGTTCAGTGTGAATCGGAGGGCAGAAAAATGAACAGTAGAGCCAAAATTCACTCTTTTATATAAAGGCAATGAAATGATATAATTAATATTACTGATAAATTAAAATTAATTAAGTACAAATTCCAAAAATTCAATTCATTTACAAGCAATGAAATGTTAAATAAATGTTGAGCCGGAATTGAAAGAAGTGATGGACTACAAAAACCTCTCCAGATTACACGAAGGTGACAAGTCAAACAAAAAGGGTCATCTGTTTTAAACAATAAGAAAAAATGGTGCATCCAAAAAACGAATAACCTAAATCTCAAACAAGTGAATTGTATTGAAGAGTCCACAAATTTTGAGATTCAAACAATTTTTATGAAGGGGAAAAATTTTCAAAATCAAAACTCGCCTTATATTGACCGTAATAACACAGTTGAGGAGGACGAAACCAGTCGTTGGAACTTTAGGGCAAAAGGACGTTGATTTCTCAGAACTCTTCGTCCCTTCCACTTCAATGCCTTCCTCCTCTTCAAAAATCAAACCGAAAGCATCTATGAAAGTGAAACTCAATCCATAAATCCAAGATTTGAATGATAGTAGTTAGAGTATGAGATATTACCACCTTGCTTCGAGCCTCGGTCTCATCTTACTTGTTGGATTTTACCCTTCTTCTTCCTCCTTTTTAGGGTTTTATTTTGTTGTGGAACGAGGAGTCAATAAAAAAAAAACTCAAAAAAAAGAGAATGTGTGAATGAATGAAGTGAGAGAAAAAGAAAAGGTTTATATCGAAGATAAAAACAGAGAAAAAAATTGCTGCTTTGTGCACCACGGAGCTCATCTCTGTGCTGCGCGGAGTCTATCTTTCATTATTTTTTTTAACAAGAAAGAATTTAAAGTCAAAAAGTGTTGGCTACTTTGTTTGCTGTCAATTCGCATTAATTAGCACTTTGAACAAAGTGAATACGATCGAATTTGCTGTCAATTTTAAAGTAAAAAAATTCTGGCTTCTATGTTTTGTCATTACATAAGAAACAATGATATGTGAGAAGAAATTAAAGTGGGATTCTCTTTCATAATAATGGGAATAAAATTAAATATTTAATTAGGAAACGAATTTAAAGTCAAAAAGTGTTGGCTCCTTTATTTGCTGTCCTGTTTGTATTAAATAGCTACAGTACAGCTTGTCAGCTTTTGTGAATGTGAAAAAGTAAAAAAAAAATAGTGCTGGATTTCTCTTCGTGCTACGCAAAGAAGTGTCGGCGGAGAGGATCTCACTCCGCACCGCGCGTAGTGTTTCACCAACTCTCCGTGCAGCGTGGAGGCCCTCTTTTTTTTGTTTATTTTTTTAGTACGTGTTTTTGGTAATTTGACCATAATTTTGGTTACGGTTATCAAAATCGTGCCCATAACCCCAATTCGGAAAGCTCTTTTCTGCACGCACATCGTGGCATCGTTTTCAAGGTCAAAATTCGCTGTTTTCCTTCCAAATCCCCAATTATAATTATTTTCTTCCTTTTATGACATCTTTTATTATGAAAACATACTTTCTAATGTTGTAAATATTTATCCTACGTCCAAAAAAAAAAAATTAACGTCATACACATAAATTTTTTTTAGAAAATGATGTAAATTATATTTAAAAAGTTGTCGCGAAAAAAAAAATCATAAAATGACTGATTTTTTTAAAGAAAAAAGACGAGTTATAAGCATTTTTAAATGTAATGTTTAACTATTTTCAACATTCATTTAGATTATATTTTCAACATTCATTTTTTTTTTTATTTTACCTCTGGCTGCACGGAGCCATTTTTTTTTAATTGGACGATTAATATTTTTTTTGTCAACTTTTTTAAGACACGCGTTTGATGTACGTTTAACTATTTTTTATATTCATTTAAATCATTCTATAAAAGGGGAGATCCTTCTCCTTCTCTCAAGAAAATGAGGTTTCAAACAAAATTGATAAAACAGAAGAAATCCATAGTCAGCAGAATTATGTTGATACATGGATCGAAATCAGTACTATACTAGACTGTCCAGTTAATGAGCCTAAAGTAACCAGCAAATCCTAAAATAAATTTCACAGCAAAAGTTTCTTCTACATTGGATTGTGGAGCTGATAATCATGCCTTCGACGATAATCTGTTGTTTCTGGAGTTTGAAGTTACTCCTTCGAAAACAATCCGACAGAATCACCTGAATGTAATAATTGATCAACAAGATCCTAAAATTGTAATTCGAGCCCACCGACTTCACGATGTTTCCTTAAAATGAATTTGCTGCCTTCAATGGTGCTAAAGGCGTCCATCAATCGTTTCCCAGGATAGAACGAATTTTCGTCTCCTACGGAAGCAGCACTGCAATCTGCAGGAGTTCCAACGAACTCAACAAAGTGTGTTTTACTTCGAGACAATATCAGAACGAGAGACAGGGAAATGAGATTCAAAGCACAGAAAGTTTGCAATGAAAATTGTGTAAATTTTATGGTAGAAAGGTTGGCTATTTATAGACTTTGTTCGTGGCCATTCGAACAGTCATCACCTTTCAGACAAG